TGTTTTTATTTATTTAAACTTATAGTATTAATCATCTATTAGATATTTATTTTATTAATATTGTTAATATATTATCCTTGTAGTAACATTTTATTTTCTTGAAATTATATAGGATTAGATTAATATTAATTTTTTATTCTTTATAGATTATTAATAATTTTATATTCATTATGTATATTATTTTTATTTATTTTATATTTGGTTGATAATTATAATATATATATATATATATATTATAAATATTAATCATTATTTTTTATAATGTTTATCATATCTTAAATATTAATTTTAATACTATTTCACTGTCTTAACACTCTATGTTTTAGGGTGTTAAATTAATTATTTTATCAATTATATGATTATTAGTGTATTAGTAGTAAGTTATTGTTAATGCTATTGGTTTAGAATTCTGGGGGTCAAGGAACCCAGGAGAGTTAAGTTGTCTCTTGTAAGAAATTGAAATAATTTTAATAATTTTTATTTAATTAAATTTTAAAAAAATTGAAAAATAAATAGTTATTTAAAAATATCCTGCTGTAATTTGTTTTAAACAAAATTATTTGGATTCAGGAAGAATAATAAAAATATTTGAATAAAAAAAGAAAAGTAAAGATAAAAAATTAGAAAAATAATTAATAAATTGTAAGAACTTAATTACAATATGAACAAATTTATGATATTAAATAATGTGTTAACTAAGTACATGTGTCTGTATATGATTAAATAATAATGGAGAAGGCATGAAAACATATTATCTGTGACTGTAATATGACAAAAAATAACAGTTTTTTTAAAATTTAAATGTATTAAATAGGGTACATGTGCTTTAAAGACTCTGATACTGTATATGGCAGTTTTAGAGAAATATGAAAGGAAATTGAATTTTGTGGGATAGAAATCGAGTGGAGCCGACAATCTAGACTATCGTAAGACGTCTGCTTTAAGTTTCTTATAAAGTCACAAATATGACTCCAATCCACATCTTTAATGCATACCACATCTACATATTATCACTTTCCATTTTTTTACCCTTTCAAATATTTCTTTTCTTTAACTTTTATTCTTCCACGAATAACTTACCACTTTTCAGTTGAAGTATAAAACTTTTATCTTGTCACAAAAATGTATATTGCTTTTCTTTTTAATTTTAGAAATCAACATGTACAATACATAAACTTTTCACCTGTCAATTTATTTTACATAGTCAGTTTCTGATTCAAGTTCCTAAGTCAGTGAAGACGACTTTTTTTATATATATAAATTAATGATAATTATCATCATATAAAAAAATTATTAATAAATTTAATACATAAAATTAAAAAACATAAATACATTTTTAAATATATGCTATTAATTTAATTAAATTAAAATGATATCTCGGCTATTTTAGTGTAAGTTCAGCGTTATATATAATAATTTATAAATTTTCATGGTCATATATGAGGTAAATTTATTAAAACATAGGGCTAAAGGTGTTATCGCGCCCTACTTTTTCGTTAATGCGAATGTGCTTCGATTTCGTTGTTGTCAGAGCTTTTACGCGTGAAGGAGGAAGTACATGCAAAAGTCATGATCAAGTAAAGGAATGCTTCAACAGAGTATTTTTAACTTGAAAAAAAGAAAAACTAATTTTGGTCACAAAAATGTAATTATAACTTATTCTTATAATACATGACTGTGGAAGAATATTTAATCACTACAAGAACTCATCAAGTTGTAACTGTGTATGAACTGACGCATAAGATAAAAATGTTGGTGCAAGTGTAGTTTTCATCTAAGATACATCATACAGGTGTACACTATTTGGTATAAATAAAAAAAATGAAAATGTTAGTTATCATACTTTTAAGAATCAGACTAATTATCAAATTGATTAAGCTATTGAATCAGTGGATCAAAAGTTAAATTGGTGAGTTACTAATTAAATTGCATGATTTAATTTTTATTAATTTTTTTAAAAATATTAATGTTAAATATATTTTATACTTGTAAATTTTAATAATTTATATCTTATTTTAAATTTTAATTTTTATCTTATTTAAAATTATCTTTATTTTTATTTTGTATAAAAATATACATAAAAAATTTACATGTTAAATTATATATTAGCATAAATTAAAAATATAAATAATATGTATATATAATTTACTAACAATTGATATCACAAAATAATATATGTAATATCTAGATGAATATTATATTATTAAATATATATAATTTAAAATTAATAATATACTATAAAAGTTATTTAAGTTGCATATATTACAAATGAATACATTAGAACAAATGATTATTGTTATATTTTATAAGGCACTTTACTCTTCTATGAGTAGGATTCGATTTTCATGTTGTGTTTTTTTAATTTCTTTTTAAAGTGATAAAATATATTTATGTGGTTGAATCGGTTTGTCCCATTAATTCAGTGGTCGAACCAAAAAATTGATCCGTTCTAATTTAAAACGGATCGAATATATAATCAACCTAACTCAAGACTCATACCAACTAGACCATCGATTCCCGATTCAATCGGTCCGAGCCAATTATTAAAGCTGTGGTTGACATGACTCAAAAAACATTAGTTTTAACATTTGTCATATTAAATTGATAAATAGCCAATGTTTTTTTTAGTAAATAACTTATAAAAGAAGGGAACAAATTCATTTACCTTAAGAATAAACTTATCTAAACTTAATCCATTTAATAATTAATATTTTACATCAAATTTTAATAATTCAATTATTGATATAAAAGTTTTTAATGTATAAATCACATTTACAAATATAAAAAATGAAAATTATTTAATATTTTATTTTATTAATTCAAATTGTTGGATAATAATAAAAATATTTTATACATTATTTTGAATTAATGAAACAAAATATTAAATATTTTATTTTTTTTTAAATTTATTAACCTGATCTATACATTAAATTTTTTTTATTTTAATAATTAAATTGTTGATATTTAATGTAGAATATGAGTTATTTAATTGAATATATAACATATCGGTTGCAAATTTTTTATCTTCATCATTAAAGTTTTTTTTTATAATGATATTAGTATTTTTATTTTATTTTTAGTTCCTAAAATATATTTATAATATATATATATTAATATATAAATTTTGAAATCGTTGATTGTATATAAGTAATATAATATAAATAAACATAATATAATTATCTATTTAATATATAGATATTGGTTTGAAAGAAAAAGCAAAAGAGAAAAAAAAATGAAAAGGAAACATGCACCGAAAAAGATGATTCGGTCTTACAAATAGATAAGGTAAAAAAAGAGAGAATAATGATAAAAAAATTGATAATAAGACAATAAGGGTGTAGTATATGTTATTAATAAAGGGAATCTTTGGAGAAGGGAAAAGAACTGTACCAAGTAAATTTTTTTGACGGTGCATAACGTCGGTGTGTCTGTATATAACCAATGAAATAGTTAAGTTCGTATACTTCTCATTGTGTAATTTTAATCAATATGATTTGGTTAAGATACAAAAGAGAGGAACATGTAACACTATCAATATCTTTATTTTTTTTTATCCACAACAAATTTTAAGGTAGGGAAATCATATTTTTTATTTATATATATATATATACATATTTTGTTTGATGAGGTTTCTTTAATATTATCTTATTTATTTATTTTATATTGACTAATCTTTTTATATATTGATTTAGATTAATTAAATGAAATATATTTTTTTTTATAAAAAAAATAGTCCCTAAATTATTCTCTATTCTCTTTTATACTACACTAACCACTATGGTGATTTACTAGTCTCTTTGAATGTCGGTTTCTCCCTTCTGATTTAAATAAATAATATATTCTTACATTGTTAAAAAATAGCCTAATAATTTAAAACTTATTGGTCCTTAAATTATTCGCTATTCTCTTTTAAACTACACTAATCACTATGGTGATTTACTATTCTCTTTGAATGTCGGTTTCTCCCTTCTAATTTAAATAAATAATATATTCTTACATAGTTAAAAAATAGCCTAATAATTTAAAACTTATTCAAATATTTTAAACGTAAACCATTGATAACTAATAAGTCATACCGAAACAAATTTTGGAGTTTTAATATTGTAAATAAAAAATAGATATGATTTGAAAGAAATATCCTGCTAAAAGTGATAAACTAAGTTTTTACGGTAATTAACAAAATGAATAAATATTTGACATTAATAAAACCATTAAACAATATGTTATCCCAAAAACAAAGACAATCTAAACAATGCTTGTGTTGCTGTTCTTTTTAGAGGATCGTGCCTGATAATCCCTTGCTTTGTGGGTGAGACATTTTGCATCGAGATATGTATAAACAATGTATGAATAAACTCAAAAAAAAAAAAAAAAAACTCCTTTTATTTATATTTGTTTTATTTGAGTTGATAAAAAGAATATTATATTGTTAAAATTGCGCATAGTAAAAGCATAACTAAATGTTCCGGCCAAGAGACGCGCTATTGTTTTTTTCTAGGTCAAGCCTCAAAGTCAGAGCATTCAAGAGTGTAATCTGTCGTCCTAGCTCTAGGGTTTTGGGTTTTATACTTTTGTGTTTATGGGCTTCGTGGGCCCCGCGATTTTCGAGATTCTCCTTACCCGCTCTTATCCTGAAGCCATGGGGTGAGTGGTTGTTAGTCAAGTCGGTATGTTACCGAGAATGCCTTTACAAGGGGGCCTGTCGGGAAAACGGCGAATTCCCTCGCGGGTGCATGTCATTGGGGCTAGAACCGAGTTGCCACACCCTGTGACGGTCCAGTCGGGTATTAGACGAGTAGAGGGTCTAGTCGGGATTTTACCTAGACGATATACTAGTCGGGTTTTTACCTAGACGGTATACTAGTCGGATTTTTACCTAGACGGTACACTAAATATATAAAAAGAATAAGATATTTGGAAGTTATGTTTTTAGTAAAGAAAGGTGTAGGTAAATGAGAGATGGAGTCGAAAAGATCCTAGTTTGTTTGGGCTCTGGCCTTTGTATGTTTGCTACTTTTCTTGAAGACCAAAGAAAAGAAAACCTTTGTAAGGAAGGACGCCTGCATTTCCACTTCGGGAGCAAGAAATTGACTCCGAGATGCAACCTTCTTCATCAGTATCCAACCCCACCCCCAACTATTCATAAAGCGAGAACGGATAAAATAAAACTCCTTTGAAAAAGCGCAAGTGGGGGAGGGATTAATACAAAGAATCTTAATCCACACAAACCAAAGAAATTAAAAACCTTTCTCTCTGGTTTTAGTTTTCCTCATACATAGCCGCCATGCCAGGTAGAACTAGTGAGCAAGGCAAGGCAAGGAATGTGAGTAACTGATCTACAAGGCAATGGCATTTCCCTCATAACCTCTCCCATAGCCCCTACTCCATTCAAAAAAAACCACCCCCAAAAGCAACTTCAATTTTTCCACCATGGAGAAATTACCCATCCCATCACTATTATAAAACCTAGTTATTATAAAAAGCCATCCCATTTCCCCAAAATTTGAAGTAATTGTGCAACTGCAATGCATTGAAGAGGAAGCATAAAAAACAAAACAAAACAAAACCCCAACCCATCATAATTGTTCCCTGAAAGAACAATGCTCCCCATCCCTTGCATTCTTTTAATGTGCCTCCTCAACTCTCTCACACCTCAAGTTAATGCTGTCCTCAACCTCACCGTACCCCACCAACACCCCGAAGCCGTCGTCCATGAACTCCAACGGTAAAAAAAAAAAAAAAAATTTTTTTTTTTGAGGAACCCACATTATGTTTCTCTTTTTCTAAACACTAGTTCACTGACATTGTTGCAGGAAAGTAAACGCGTCGCTATGGAGAAGACAAATGCTGGCGAAAGACCAGGCCACGTGTCTGACCGGAAACCCCATCGACGACTGCTGGCGGTGCGACCCGAACTGGGCGGCGAACCGGCAGAAGCTGGCGGACTGCGGCGTGGGGTTCGGGCGCGACGCCCTCGGCGGCAAGGGCGGCCAGATCTACGTGGTGACGGACTCCTCCGACCGAGACCCGGCGAACCCCGTTCCGGGGACGCTCCGGCACGCGGTGATCCAAGACGAGCCTCTGTGGATCGTGTTCGGCGGCGACATGACGATCACGCTGAAGCACGAGCTGATCTTCAACAGCTTCAAGACGGTGGACGGGCGCGGCGCCAACGTGCAGGTGAGCGGGCACGGGTGCATCACGCTCCAGTACGTGTCGAACATCATCATCCACAACATCCACGTGCACCACTGCACCCCCTCCGGGAACACCAACGTCCGCGCCAGCCCCACGCACGTCGGCTGGAGAGGGAAATCGGACGGCGACGGGATTTCCATCTTCGGCTCCCGGAAGATCTGGATCGACCATTGCTCCCTCTCTTACTGCACGGACGGCTTGATCGACGCCATCATGGGGTCCACCGGAATCACCATCTCCAACAGTCACTTCGCGCACCACGACGAGGTTATGCTTCTTGGACACGACGATAAGTACTTGCCCGACAGGGGAATGCAAGTTACCATCGCCTTTAATCACTTCGGGGAGGGTTTGGTGCAGCGCATGCCACGCTGCAGACTCGGTTATATCCACGTGGTGAATAATGATTTCACCCAGTGGCAGATGTATGCTATCGGCGGTAGCGCTAACCCCACCATTAACAGCCAGGGGAATCGTTACACCGCTCCCGCCGACCCCGATGCCAAAGAGGTTCTTTTTTTTCATTTTCACTTTTTTTATTAACTACTTTTTCTGTTTACTGCATCTCATCATGTCTCATGTCTCTTTGCGCTTCTTTTTTTTTTTTTTTTTCTTTCTTTGTTTGACTCCTGTTTGAAACGAATATATGCTTGTGAATTTGTGGTGTTGTACGCGCGTGGGAGGCGCGTGAGGTGGATTTGGTAATGACCGTGAGACGGTGCAGGTGACGAAGCGCGTGGACACGGACGATAGAGAGTGGAGTGGTTGGAATTGGAGGACAGAAGGGGATATAATGGTAAATGGAGCGTTCTTTGTGCCTTCCGGTGCGGGGGTCAGTGCTCAGTACGCGGAGGCCACCAGTGTGCAACCTAAATCCGCCGTGCAAATTGACCAGCTCACTATGTATTCCGGTGTGTTTGGTGATCCCAGGTAATATTATTATTTTATTATTATATGGACTTTTTAATTGGAATAATCTGCTGCGTTGCGCCTATACGCTATACCTACAACGGGCATTACCTGTCATCTTAACTGTCCTTAAAAAGGGTAATCTGGTTAATACGCGAGTGGGAAAAGGCTAAGGGCGTCTTTGGAGTATAATTAAATTACGGGAATGTCCCTGACCTGACCCACATGCCCCCCGCAATGTTCCTTTAAATCTGTGAAAGGACGCGGGGTCACAGAATGCCAACTGTGCGCTACAAGCCTACAAGTGGTGCCGATTCTCATTGGTTCCAGTTCTGTGAAAAAGCTAGCTGTGTGGAATATTGTATGTTTTTTTATGTGCTTCCACTTTCACATCTTGTTTCCTAAACTTAGGTTCATGCTAAAACTCACTTTACGTTATTGAATTATTGGGAGTAGCCCAACATTAAGATCGGGATCAGCAACGTTAATTGGTAGTAATTTGGAAAATCGGGGGAAAGTGGGGCTTTTTGGGGGGATGCACGTGATCGCGAGGTCATTGGGAAAGGGGAATCTCTAGCTCATGGGCCAACAGCAGCCTTATTTACAGTTCATTTGTCTTCGTTCATCTTTTTCTTCTAAAGTTCACCATGCACGACACTAGATTAAATCTTTTTTTATTTCTTTTCAAAGCACAAAACTTTGTTTTGATCCCCTTTGCATATGTGGGTAGGGTGGGTGTTGTGTTTCTTATAAACCCCCTCTTGGCCCATGCTACCTATGTTATTCTAGAATTGGAAGGAAGTGAACTAGTGAAGTTCAGAAACTATGATCGAGCCTCCTCCATTCATATTCAATAATTAAATTACTCTCTCGGTTCATTTTTATAATCCATTAAATTTTTTCACGAAAAACATCTTTAATTGAAATCATTTCTTTTTAATTTAATAAGTTGTTGATAGAGATAGTTTTGAAAAATAATAATATAAATTTAGAACAAATTTAATTTTACCAAGTTTCTTAATCATAGTAAATTAGGTAATGGAGAGAGTAACTAGGAAGCAAAAAAGGAAAGGCAAAAAATGGAGTGGTGTCTAGGGTTGGAGCGTAGAGCAGTAAGTGTTTAAGAGAGAGCGGCCCCCACGTCAGATGTTTTGGCTGAAATTATGTACCTTTTTATCTGCTTTCCAGCCGGTAAGTGTGGGACCTTTCATAGCATAACACTAACGTGTCTTGGGTCCATTTCTGATTCGACAATCGACACATACCAGTCACAACTTACTCGCCAAATGAGCATCTCGATCATAATTTGGAAAACTCGCTCTTGCTGTCACCACCCTTGTTAACCTTTTTATTTATTGCCGTTTAGTCCACATGCATGATTATGATTAAGCAGCTCTAGGGTTAGGGTCCATTGATTTTTTATCTCAAGTGTATACCAAGTGACAACCATTCTCTAGGATAGTTTTATAATTTGAATAGTACAATGGCCCTACATCTAGTTTGAATTGTGAATATCTAGTGACTCTTGTTTAGCTTAAGTAGCCGCTACCCGGAGTCTACCATCATTTAAATAGGAAATGAGATTCACCAAATCATTTGGTTAGTTAGTTCTACATGAATTTCACACACTCAATAATAGTGTGTGAAAAGGAAATCCTACTACTCATTAGCATCTCTCTTATGAATTTCAAACTACCACCTAAACTAATTTATTTCGAATTTGACTTCTTTGCCTTATTTTCTGAATCTAGTCACCTATGTTCTTTAACACATGTGCATCTCTCTTATCCCCTGTTCTTTTCCATGTATGCTTTGAGCCTTTGACTCATTCTTACACAATTTCCGGGCCAAAACCCCATCTTTCTTACGTCTGAGATCCACTCATTTATTCCTACTCTCGTCGTTATGCTCCTTTTAATTAATTGCGATTACGGCGGCAAGAATTGAGCATTCACACTCTAGAAAGGAAGGATCACTTACCTCCCCCAACAAATTAATATTAGTAACAGGAGTTAATTAAAATAAGCTTCTTCCTAAGTTGAAATTAATTTATACATGAGTTAATATTTTTTTGAAAAGACTTATAGGAGAAAGTTTCTGCAAAATAGTTTATACATAAATTAAGTTTAGCTTACAAAGAAATTTATTTCATTTTTTTATTTTTATATTTTACTAAGGAAAAAGTACTTAGCTGATTGTACCTTTTCTTCAAGTTGAAGCCAATATGATGATTTGATGTAGTGAAGGATCTAAACAGGATACGGCCTTATACATAGTGTGTTTTAAACAAGATGTTTGTCTTTGCTTCAATTTGAAGCTAATGCCTTTTCTCTTTTATTTCCTGTTGTTAGCTCTATGTTTCCAGTCCATGCATACCAAACCAAAAAAGTAGCTTTGTTGAAGTTCTCATGACTTAATTATTGAAATAGGGATAATGGGGATTTATATCCGGGTTTCAACGGTGGTGGGACCGTGACCGGAGCCACCAGCAAAGGCAACAGCGCGGGGTCCACCAGCAGTGACGATGGGGACTTCTTCGGGATGATATTCAAAGGTAGTAGCAGCAGCCAAGCACCAGCACCATCACCTTCTTCGTCCATTGTGTTTGTTTCAACCTTTTTGTCCCTTTTCATTATTTTCATTTTGGACTCTACCACCAAACATGCTCTTCTATTATCATTACTATGATGATCACACCATTGCAAGTGGGAACTGCCAAAACCAGTTCCTCTCATTCCCAAAAAATTACCTAAAGGAAAAGAATGATCAAAGTTTCTAAAATTTGTTTTTTAGTTTAGAAACTAGGAATGATATTTTAGTTAATGTACACAGCTCTCGAAAGTTATTACTGGAATCAAAATAGAGCTAGGTGCAATATCATTATGATTGGTCATCGCCTCAAATGTATAGTTTAATTCAATGTATTATTCATTTCAGTTTGCCTTCTGTTAATCTGCCATGGCATCATATTCTTCTGCATACTCATTTCAACTATCAACTTTAACCATTTTAATTTCATAGCATAGGCGTAAACTCATTTTGTAAAATGCTTCATGATTATTCATAATGCAAGCACAGCCTCATGCTTAGATCACGTGCTCACAAAAATGTGGATACATTTTTTTGTTTTACTTTCAAATTTTTGACAGGACATAATATAGATATGAAAAGCATCAATGATCACAAAAATTATCCTATTTGTTTTTATAATTTAAAAATACTTCATTTTTTTTTATCTTCAAAAGTGATTATAATTAATATTTAATGATAGATATAAATCGTAATAAAAAAATTAGATGCTTTCAAGTTAGAGGAATCAAAGTAAGAAAAAAGCAATTAGGAGACTAGAATTGAATTTGATTTTTTTTAAATGACTGAAAGCATCTTTTTATCCAATTAAAAAAAACAATCGTTGTATCTATTTTTCTGAAAAGCTCTTTTGAATTTTCTCATAAATCGTTTATTTATTTTACTCTTATCTTTTAATAAAGGTTATAATTAAAAATATTTAATGTGATTTTAATTTTTACATAATTAGAGAAGTATAATTTTTTTTACAAACTGAACAAATATAAAACGAATAGAAGTAGTATCAAAATAGTTACATGATTTCTTAAAACTTACTTTATTTTGGAAAAATTATTAAGATGATGTTGCTAGCTGGAACCCCACATGATGTAGTGAGAATTCTTAATGTATTTCTATTGTATATATTAATAATTATCGAGAAGAGTTTATGTTAAAAAAATATCAATAAGAGTTTAATTTATAATTGTATGTAGAGATGTATAAATGGATCTTGATGCTTGAGTGTAGATAGTTTTGTATCGTTTCTATAAATTGATCGGGTTGGATTGGGATTCTTTACATTCTAATACTCGAGTCTAGAAAGTTGCTAACCAAATTAGATTAGTAGAATTGAACAATTCATGTCATGATTTTTGCTAATAAACTCAATTATGGTCCTAAATATGATTTATGGACTTATTATAAAAAATAAAGTTATTGACTTATTGCGCATATAATGGCGGTCAAAAAAATCGGTAGTGCGAGTATTTTCTTGCACAATAAATTAGTATTCGATTCTCCTCCTTGTAGGCAAGAATCTAATCTATCTCAATCTAGGAGATAACTCTTGCATATTTATATAAAAAAGTTTACCCTGCATATAAATTAAATTCTATGGAAAATATTTCTTTTAAAAATGTCACATAACTTTTTCCAGTTGTCACTATTATTATTATTTTTTTGTCTTTTTATTCACAAATATCAATAATGCATAGTTTTCTATACGAGTTATGCGAGGTTCACTTCACAAGTTCACATTAGCAGCTGTAATAATTATAATATAGGTGCACTTGTAGTGGCTTTATTCTAACATGGAAATACAAGTTGATGGCTCTTTGTGGTTTGAGCTTTACCCGCCTTTATTAATCTTATATCGTAAGAGTCGAAAGTTTAACTGATAGTCATATACCTCAAACCAATACCAATGGCATCATCTTTTGTCTGTTATGAAATTAATTGAGTTGTTGTTACATTGCTAGTACTTTCCCATTGGACATTTTGTAAATCTAGTTTTAGAGTTCAACTTTTGAGTTTCCACTTCCATGGCAAAATAATTATTTAGCTGGCTCTTTCCTGATTTGATTTGAAAACAACGGAAGAGAAAAGAAAGAAGAAGATAGGATCTGAGTGGCATTTCTAATGCCATGTCAACTTCAAACCCCTCTATTTATTTAATTTTAGTGTTCCTTTTCTAAGTAATAATAAAGTGTTTAACATGATTTGTCTCCATATCTCAAAGAAATTGTCAAACCGTCCAATTCTAAAGAATCTTCCTATCTGCATGTGGATATCTCTGGGAAGTAATATAACTTGAAAAGATTGTCTCTTTGCCTCATCTTCTGGCTCCATTCCATTCATACAATATTTATCTAAAAATAATAATGATAGGAACAATTCATGTATGTACATATAAAATAACCATTTTTTTTTTATATGGTGCTGATGAATAGTACAAGCAATCTACTCAAGGAAAAAGGACAAATCAATGCTTATATCATCTGCAAGGAATAAGGGTGGGGACTCTCTTAATTTTTTAATATCTGAATTTTATTAAAAATTATAATTTATTCAAATTTTTTAAGGAGAATGAACTTTTATATATATATATATATAAAATAAAAAAATCTCAAACATAGGCCAGGGCAATAATGCTCAACAAATGAACATCGTCCACTAACAACAGGGCTAAAAATAAAATGTAAATTTATAGACATCTCTTTGTATTTCATTTCATGGCAAAACAAAAATTCAAAATTTGTTAAGATCGC